AGTGGTCTTTGACAAAGTGATACGCATGTCCACTCTGACATCCAGTCCATTTCGAATTTTCGTTTCGAGAGAAACAAGGATGTTTTCTTTCAAGGCGAGATATATTTTCTTTTATTTCATTCAATGGGAAACCGTTTATTTAGACAAGTACAGTATGGTGAATAAAATTCTTAATTTCTGTCGAATCCTCACGGACACCCTGAAACCCATCCATGAACTACCTAGGTCTCCATAGACCACACGTTTAAGAAGCCCAATTTTAGATATTCAATAAAATATTACTTCGAGAACTAAAAATAATTGTGAAAGATATACTATGAAAGAGATTAGGTCTTTCCATATGAACGGCCAGTCCTCCGAAATCCAAGCCCTCATCGGAGACGTCGCCCAAGGTTCGATTCTCGGACCAACCGTCTTCCTATTTTATATGAAGGATCTGCTCATGAGTATACTCCGAAATTTTGTAAATAACTATACTGATGATACAACGGTACATCGGTCAAAACATTAGATGATCACAGTTTGGCAGCTGATCTTATCTCTGACCTCCAAAAGTCTAGATGATCAAAGCTTGGCAGCTGATCTATCCTCTGATCCCCAAAAGCCTAGATGATCACAGCTTGGCAGCTGATCTATCCACTGACCTCTAAAAGTCTAAATGATCACAGCTTGGAAACTGACCTCTTCTCTGATCTCCAAAAACCTAGATGATCACAGCTTGGCAACTGATCTCTCCTCTGACCTCAAAAATCTTAGATGATCATAACTTGGTAATTGATCTATCCTCTCACCTCAAAAATCTTAGATGATCAGTGCTTGGCAGCTGAACTCTCCTCTGACCTCCAAAATCTTAGATGATCATAACTTGGCATCTGATCTCTACTCTGACCTCCAAAAGTCTAGGTGATCACACTTTGGTAGCTGATCTCTCTTCTGACCTCTAAAATCTTAAATGATCATAACTTGGCATCTGATCTCTACTCTGACCTCCAAAAGTCTAGGTGATCACACCTTGGCAGCTGATCTCTCTTCTGACCTCTAAAATCTTAGATGATCATAACTTGGCAGCTGATCTCTACTCTGACCTCCAAAAGTCTAGGTGATCACACCTCTAAAATGGATTATCATAACTTGAATCTGATCTCTTCCTCCAAAAGTCTAGGTGACCTCTGAAAAAAATCTTAGATGATCATAACTTGGCAGCTGATCTCTACTCTGACCTAGCTCTGTTAGCTGGTCACTTTCAATTCCTTGATAACCAAACTAGTGACATTTAACCACCACCGATGTGAACGCTCACCAATCACGATGAATGGAGGGCTCGTGCTTTGAGCGCATATTATAGCTTAAACCCAGTCCAGACCTCACACATACACAATCCATCGTTAAAGACGGTGGGAAAATGGTCGTTTCCCTATTCCGCACCTCCTTCTATCCTACCCTATACAAGAAGTAGATCGGGCTGAAAATAAAATACTGGCGGAACTGTCATGTTTTCACACTCCACTTTCGATGGAGTGCAAAAACGTCTCCGCGTCCTTGTGAGTGATGAATTATTTCCCCCCTAAAACCCCTCTCCCATAGACGAGCCGTCGCAAGCCTCTCGCTGCTCTATCACTATTTGCATGGAAAGTATTTAGATGAACTACACTCCTTAGTACCAAATTCTTGAATACAAATAAAATAATGTATTTAGTAACACTTTTTGTCTAAGCTTTCCTTTCTGCTAACTTTTTAAGTTGCTTAAACCACAACGGCTGATTTAAAATTTAGTCAAATTTGAATACAGTTGATTTAAACGAGTCTAAATCTCTTGTGATAATTTTGGCATTCTACGACATGCAGTAAAAGTTTTAAAAAAATAAGGTAGAAAAGTTATACTGCGCCAGTCTTCTGAGTGGGTCTGCCTGTTTTGAAAATCAGCATTCGAAATCATGTCGTTTACAAGGATTCGAACTCAGTACTAGATTGACAAGAAGATCTGTTCAATTTACAGTTAAATTTGTTAGATGCAATTTGCTAACAATTTATTTTCTCGCGCTTCTCTCTTGTTGAACTCTCGGTGACTTCTAGCCAAGTTCGATTTTCCAAAATTTAAATGCAATATCAATCGTTATCAAACTGTTTTCTTGATTTCTTTTCTATTGTTGTTCTCTATTTTCTTCTTCTTTCTCAAACAGTAACCCGCTTTCATTCTTTCCTTGCAATACTTTGTTCTCTAAGTATGAACATATTTGTTTAATCTTATTTTTTTGATAATTGCTCGGACAGTATCCTCTAACCATCTGCTAGAGATCTTCCGTTGTCAGTGACATTTCTCACGAGGTTCTATTTCTGACAATGGCATTGTGCTTGTTTCCCGCCACAAGGCAATGGTGAAAAGCGTTTGTCGTTAAACAATCTTCGTTTACAAAGCAAATACACACATAAGATAAATTCCCGGTGCTGTAAAACCCGTGGGTCTTTAGAAAAACGATGTTTCTTCTGAAGAAAGACGAGGTGAGGGCTGTATGCCAACAAACAGTAAAATAACAAAAAACGGTGAGGCAGGTCAGGTCGCGTTGCTTAGCAAACAATCACAACAGTTTAAAGTTTTTTGTCGAGCATTGAAAGCGTTCATCTAAAAAAAAAACTATTGTCTGGTACCGATAACATGGAACAGCTTGTCCCGTGGCAAAGAAGTCGGTAGGGCGATCTAATGACATTTCGCCGTTGCAAATGGTTTGTTTTCTATAAACTTACTTTTTAGTGTATCTGTAAGTACGGCGGGGTTAGCGAGGTTTAGAACTGGTTACATGAGTCCAATGTTTCTATAACACTGGAAACTAGGTCCCCACATAAAATTCCCGCCCCCCGCAAAAAAAAAAAAAAAAAAAAAAGAGGATACCTGATGAAAGAATTCCCAAAGCATAATAAAAACGAAATATTATCGCCAAAATCTTTATGTTATTATTAAGAGAAAAGATGAAAGGATTTTTATGTACAAATTATTTTTTCTTAATCCTTTTTATAAACCTTTGAAATTTTGCTTACAGATAGTTTTTTTTTTTTTTTTTCATCAACGCGGGACCGCAAATTTGTATGGAAAATATGAATGCCTGCTTTGCGATGAAAAATACATTGATTTGCAAAATTCTTGCAAAAATCAGATAATTGTCGAATTTTAATGAAACTTTCAGAACTTATTCAGGAATGAATACAATTATCTATTGAAACGTTTCTTATTTTAGAAAATCTTTGTAAAAATATTTTTTTTGCATTTTTTTTTTTACATCTTTTACAACCCCAGCTCCAAACTAATTTTTATGAAATTTCGAGAAATACTTAATCTTAATATTTGTTGCAAGGACAAGTCCTCGGAGAATTCATCAACTTGTTTTTTGGGGGAATACAGGATCACCAATTACAGAAAATCGTATTTGAATCGTAAAATAAAAAAAATGAAATAAAGCTAAAGCATTTTGTAATTAGAAAAACTTTAAATTGTTTTTATGAATAAAAATATATTATGGCCACTCTGGGCTTATGAAAATACTTTTTGATCAATAATAAATTTTTACATAAAGCGTTAACATTTTTTAAAATTTTAATTATAATAATTTATAAACTTCTAAAATTCTGCATTAATTTTTAGCGGCTAAGTTATATTTTTATCAAATTAAAATTTTATTTAGTAATCATTAAAGGAACAAAACGAATGACTTTCTATATTTTAAAAATAATCTTAAATTTTTTGTATGTGTATTAACGTGTGGATCTTTGCAAATATGGACAACCATACACGACATTATAAGACAATAATAGTAGTATCAATAATAAACTTAAAATTTAATGGTAATTTTCTAAATCTTTCTCAATTAGAGTCTTCGCAATTAAAGTTATAAAGCCAAAATACCTAAAATTCAATAAAATATGATATTGTTTAAAATATCTTCCTAAATTTTAAAGATAACTAGATAGTTAAAAACATGATATAAAGAAGGCGTTTATCTTGTCTTCCTCAATTAATGTTTCAGTTATGTCACCCTTACTTAAATTTACCATGCTGTCAATTACTCAACAAGTCAAAAAGACGTGTTAAAAAGTGATGCTTTTTGTGATATTTTAAACTAAAAGTAAGTAATATTTGTTTCAAATCAGATTAATTAAACTTTAAATCAGCTAATCTCTCTCAAATCATGTTTCAGAAAAGAATATTTTTATTTTTGAAATAAAGAGAATTATGTCGTGTTGACAGATTTGTCAATATCTAAGATTTTATAGATTTTACTGAAAAGGAGACAAAAAGAGCCAATTCATTTCAAATTCAGTTTGAAATACGCCAAAGCATTTTGCTTATTGTGAATATTAAATGTAATCTATTAGCTTGGAATTAAAACTAATAATAAAGACCTTCAATAAACAATTTTCATATTTTAAAATATATTTGAAGCTTAGGTATCTTTTTTTTTTATTGGAGGTACATACTGTAAACAGAAGAAAAGATTTCTCTTTTCACACTCATACTGTCGTTCTGGAAAACCAAGATTTAGATAATAAAATAAGTTGATATGCAACTAGTGTCTGCGTGATGAGTTCATTTATTGGACATTTTGATGAGTCGAGTTGGGTAAGAAAAAAAAACGGGGGAAAAAAACGAAACTCAAATCAGTGACCGACCATTGCCTTTAGATTTTCTTTGTTTTTTCTTTGTTCGGTTTTTCTATTCGTCTTGTTTGCCATTCGTTACTGCAATAGGCGTATTTTGTTAAGAGTCGACTTTCAAAACCTTAAATAACCGTCCAGCCATCTTGGATTCATTTACATTAAATAATGATGAACAAATTTCCACCAATGCCTTGCAGCAAAACCTTCAGATTGTACAATTTCTTTTGACTTCACCTCTTTTTTTTTTTTTATTTCTTTTCTGTCTCTCTTCCTTTTTTATTTATTTGATTCTAGTTCCTTTTTATGTTTTCTTTTCTTCCTTTTTTTTATTTATTTGATTCTAGTTCCTTTTTATGTTTTCTTTTCTGTCTCTCTTCCTTTTTTATTTATTTGATTCTAGTTCCTTTTTATGTTTTCTTTTCCGAAGACCTTATCCAATTCTTTATCCTTTCTCGTTTTCTTTTCCGTGTTTTCCCTCTTTTTCTTCTCTTCACGTTCAAGTTTGCTCTCTTTTTTTATTTTATTTTCGAGTTTTTCCGCTTTTCCTTTTCTTTTTTTTCCCTAGATTTACCTCTTTTTCTTTTCTGAATTTCCCTCTTTTCATTTTCATTTTTATTAAATTTTACCATTTTTTTCTTTTAGATTTGTTTTTTCTTCGTTTCCATAATTCTTCTTTTAGATTTCTTCTCGTTTCACACTTACTTCGATTACAAGGACTCTATAGTAAATATAATTGTTATTTTCCATCGCATCCACACGGACACGCTGAAACCCATCCATGGACTCCCTAGGTCTCCATTGACCACAGCTTTAAGAAGCCCAGTTTTATATATTCGACAAAAAATTATGAATTCGAGAACTAAAAATAATTGTGAAAGATATACTATGAAAGAGATTAGGTCTTTCTATATGAACGGCCAATCCTGCGAGCCGCAAGCGATCACCGGAGGCGCCCCACTTCTTCTTCGTTTTCTTCTTCTTCTTCTTCTTCTTCTTCTTCTTCTTCTTCTTCTTCTTCTTCTTCTTCTTCTTTTTCTTTTCATTTTATTTGTTTATTTCTTTCTTTTCTTCCATACCTGCTCTTATTTCACATTTCTTTTCTTTCCAGGCCCTGCCCAGAGACCTAATGTCAGAAATGGCATCATGGCATTTTCCACAGACCAAAAAAAAAAAATTTTACATAGATAAAGTCCATCGTAAGGTGTGGGTTGTACTCGTGAGGACAATTTTTTGTATTTCTTTAAGGCATCGACTTCCAGGAATCCCTTCAATTAGACTACTGGAATTTTTCCAACCAATCCGAGGGCTCCAACTACAACAGGAATTGTTGATGTTCCCATATTATTATTACTATTATTATTCTCTCATTTTTTGGCATTCTCTTTGTTTCTTAGTTTTGTTTATTCTTTTCATCTTTATTCTTTCACGTTTATTATATTCCATCGATCACCACCATAAAAAATATGTCTTCGCAATCAACCATTCGATCCGGTTCGTCCCTCCCTCTCTCCATCCCTTCCTCCCCTTCCTTCCTTCCTTCCTTCCTTCCTTCCTTCCTTCCTTCCTTCCTTCCTTCCTTCCTTCCTTCCTTTTCCGCTTTTCAATGATGTGTTCATTATAGATATCTTTTACCCCCTCAAAATTTCCCCTTCAAATACAAGTGCTACCTTTTCTCAGAACAGTATTTTCTTTTTTTCTACTTCTTCTCATTTTACTTTTCCCTTTCATTCTCTTTCTCTTTCTCGCCTTCTTCTTTCAATTCTTTCTGATCTCCTCTACCCACTCCTCATTCAATTTTTTTTTCTAACTACCCTTTCATTCCTATCTTCTTTCTTTCTGTCCATCTCTTCCATTTTCTACAAGAACTCCCTCTTTTCCTTAACCCGTCAGCCAATTAAATCGCCTTTCGGCACATCTTCACCGATTCACGCTGTTTGCCTTCATCCTTCGCATATTTTCCCCCCCACCCCAACTCCGCTTCATTCGAATGTCTCGCCAGAAATAATCGACTGGAAGCCATGAGGTGATCAAAGCAAAAAGATAAAATCTGCAATTTTCTGGACAACAACAAGCAATAATTTGTTTAAAAAAAAAAAGAATTCTCCAACATCTGTCTATTAACTTCACACTGTCACGCTGATCATATTCCTTTCTATTTATCTTTCTCATCTCTCAATATATATATATATATATATATATATATATATATATATATATATATATATATATATATATATATATAGAGAGAGAGAGAGAGAGAGAGAGAGAGAGAAATTGTGTGGGTAAGAATAAACGCTGGTGATTGTCAGGTTCACGATCCAATACGATCTTCTGACCATGTGCTATGACACCTTCAGCGGGTTCTATATATAGCACGTAGTATAGGTCACCAAGGAAATGTAGAGGATCAGGAGACCAGCCCTTACCATCTTCTTTTGTTTAGGGTTCATATTGAGGTTTATGTAAGGGTCATAATCTCTAGATTACTTATTTTCTACCGTTCGGTGGGTGGGATTTTCGAGTGTATTTACATGTACAGATGATTTGTGGGCATGACTGCGTGAAAATACATACATACATAAAAACACATATATATATAATATTAGTGGTTAATATATATATATATATATATATATATATATATATATATATATATAGATACACACATATATAAATTTTCAAGAGGAGAGAATCCAGGTAGAACTCAATGTCCATGGCAGAGTAAGAATATAATAAAAAGGTTTAAACAAAAAGGCAAATTTGTAGGTCTGATGAATTGGATCGTAATTAAGATTCCAATGTAATAAATTATAACCATGGAATATTAATGTTTAAGCCATTTTATTATATTTTATTATATATATATATATATATATATATATATATATATATATATATATATATAAATTCATGAATTATTCATACAAAAAACAAATATAGAGGTTAATGATTTAAATGGCGAGAATACATCTTCGCAAACAATATAAATGAGATACATCAACCCCAAACCTGTATACAAGCTTTCGTCTGTTTCTAAAGACATGCTCAGGTATGGAAATAGATTTTGTTCTTGTTTTTACTTCTTGGTAATAAGCTTGTAAAAATTAAAAACCTTATGCAACCGAAAAATAGTGAAAAAATAAACAGTAAGATGACGGCACTCAGAACATTAATTTTAAAACAGTGCTCAATACACAAAATAGAGCCGTAAATGTTTATTTAAATATTATTTCATGAAAATTTCCAAAGAGAGGAAGTGGATGATATTTGCTTCGATAACTGTATTTCTGAATAAAAGTTTTTAATAACACCGTGATTCCCCACCTGATGAGACGTTTAAAAAAGGTTTTCCTTTTTTTGATGTTGAAACAAAAATGTACAATTTTGTAGTGAAAATTATGTAGTGAATATGTACATGTTTTTAATGTAACACTGCATAATATATATATATATATATATATATATAATATATATATATATGTGTGTGTTTGTTTGTGTGTGTGTGTGTGTGTGTGTGTGTGTGTGTGTGTGTGTGAGTGTGTGTGTGTGTAAAGCGAAACAACGCCAAAATCCAACGACCCCCTGAAAACGGCTAATGACGGTATTGGACAATTTTTGCTCTCCCTCGCTCACACCAAACGGTAAATGTAAGAACCTTGTCCGTCATATTTAATGAAAGATGTTTAAAAAAAACGTTGATTCCCAAGTATACATTAATATCTATATCTATATATATTTCTTCAAACGTTACATTTAGTGGATACTAAGCATTTGAGTAGCTGTTCCGTTTTTTCTAAACAATGTCTAATAAATGTACTGGCGTCCGGATTCGAGAAAAATAAATAAAGAAAATATACCCCCCGGTAGGGTTCGAACCTGCGTCACTGTTCGTAAGTGAAACGACTGTCTCGTCTGGTGAGCATAAAAAGCCCAGCAAGATTCCATTTACCCTTTAAAGGAATGCTCATCCCTTTGTTCAGATTATTACTGAAAGCCCAGATCTACTGTGTTTCGTATCTAAAATAGAAACAAAGCAATGTCTAAAGAATTAATGGATTTTATTTTTAATCCGACATTACTTCTTTACTATTTTATTAATTTATATTCTTCGTTTAGTGTCCTGCACAGCCTTATGCAGACATGTCCCTTTAAGGCAGTAGTTGAGAAGCTCTATGTCTACACTGTTTATATGTATAAACCCTCTATTTCCCATAATGAGCAATCTACCACTGTAAATATAGATCATTTCAAACTAGATGTATGTGTGTGTTTGTAGGGTACATAATATGATTCAAAATAAAAATGATGATGATGATGATAAGAAAATTCAGAACAGCATTGTGGACGTCTGCCGGCTTCTTCAGCTCACGATAAAAGACAAAACTGTACGAAATGAAAATTGTTGGTATCATATATATATATATATATATATATATATCACTTAAAAATCCAACAGACACCAACGGCTATATATATATATATATATATATATATATATATATATATATATATATATATATATATATATATATATATATAAAGAAAGAAGACAGACATTTTCTGGTTTTTGGATATAATGAAGTAATTTAATTTTTTTGCCTCACTTATCCTAAATATCTCAACGCCTTTTCCTTATACAGAGTTTTGTCTTTTATTTCAATCTGAAGCAGCTAAGACGATCCAACATCGGCAAACGGTGTTGTTTATAAGCTTATTCGCCTTGTATTATCATTTCCAACTACACACACACACACACATATATATGTGTGTGTGTTAATAAATAAATATATCATATATTTATCTATAGCTGGCCACTCGTATTCGAGAATACTCGTCTACTAGGGCGGCTAGCCAATCCCTATTGCAGAGGCTAGCTCAGGCACATACGAGTTTGTCCAACACCTACAGAGCCCACCTGTGGTTTATACCGCAATTATGCTGAGCAGACAATAGTAACAGTTTCTGGGAAAAGGACAAAACTCTGCAATTCTCAGTCACGATGACTTGTGACTTAGTGCTTGCATAGCTATCGCTACATAATTTTACTCACATAGCTTGGGTCAACCGGTGGTATGGTTTTTACTTTTACTTTTCTTTTCATTTTTATCTTATATTATATATATATATATATATATATATATATATATATATATATATATATATATATATATATATATAATATATTATAATATACATAATATAATATAATATATATAGATACATATATATATATATATATTATATATATATATTATATTATATATATATATATATATATATTATATTACATATATTATATTATATGTATATTATATATATATATAAATGAAATATATATATATATATTTAATTTTATATATATATATATATAAATGTAAATTTCTTTTCATTTTTTAAATGTAAATTTCTTTTCATTTTTTGTTTCAACTTTTGGAAGTAAAGTCTGATGATCCGCAGTCCTTTTAAAAGGGCTGTGGTGAAATAATTTATTACATGGAACCTTAAAGTGGTCTGTTTTTATTTAAATTATTTGCACTGGATTTACATTGAGCTCTCCGGATTTTATCCTCTTTGGGTTTACCCATACGGATTACCTAGTTCTTCATAAACTATATATATATATATATATATATGAATGAATATGTGTGTGTGTTTACATACACGTTATAAGAGTTAAAACACAAAATAAGATTACTGGGGAAGACATAGGATAGAAGCGAAAAGAATAAAAGTAACTTTAAAACTAACAGGATACATTTAAGGTGGATGGCATAACAGGGTTTGGCATAAATAGCACAAAGACAAAAGTTATTAAGAGCTACAAGGGACAGGAAGATGTGGAGGACTTTGATCACCCATGCCCTGAAGGGCCACGGCGCACAAAAGAAGAAGTCACTTGACGTGATGAGCATTAAAATCAACAAACAGAAAAATGTTCGCAGATGCATGCAGAGAGAGTTATTTCTGGATGTTTAGTCTACAATGTTTCAGAAAAAAAAAACCCAAAACAACGTAGAATGGTAAAAGAAGTCGAAATCATATGAAAGAAACACCTAGGGATCTAAGAGACGATTCCTTTGCCACTGGAATATTTTCCCAGATGTAAACACGAAGGCCATGCATATCTATCTATCTATCTATCTATCTATCTATCTATCTATCTATTCTATTTTTTAAATCGTTTCTGTTTTTTAATTGTCACCACAGACTCTTTCAACTCGCAACTAGCTTGTATTCCCGTAAAATCACAGGTACCTACAATGCTGTAACTATGCTCCATGTAAAAAACACCATAAAATGATTGCAGCGTTTCTCTTTTCGTCTTGTTTACATCATAGCGACATCCTGTTTACCAAAGATTTTATGACCTGCTTGCAAAATGGTGACTGTTCTTACACAGTGTAAAACTAATATCAGCTTTGGAGTAGAGCCATTTTGATAAATACCCTGCCGACAAAATGCATGGCCAATGTAATTCGATGAGTAGATTTAAATCAATCATTAGAAGCGAACACTATTTGCGCGCTCTCGTTCGCTTTTAAATCGTGTTTACTTTCAGATCAAATCTGAACATCATTCAACCCTTTGTAACATGAAAATCTCTTGCACTAATGTGGCAAAAAGCAAAATGAAAACATTACATTAGTAATGAAAGAAGCTAATGTTCAGAATTCATTCTTTCTATATTGATATTAAAAAAAAACAACTATTGTATCTGGTGCAGATCGGACGCATATTTTCATAAAGTTTTATATCAAATTATTGTTCTCGACTCAATACGAAGAGGAGGCCTTTGTATATACATATTTTTTTACACCGAGGTTGACAATTTACAAGGTAGAGTTTTACGTTTGGAGGCCCTTTGTCTTTATGGGAGTGGAAGATAATGGTTAAGCCCAGCTTTAAACAGTAGTTATCGGGGAAACATTCTATTGGAGTCGGTTCCACAGAGAAGTGGTTCGCAGGAAGAAGCTCTTCGAGTGGAAATTCTCACCGATCGAATACAGAGGGGATGTGGGTGATTTGCTACGATGTAAGTGGCATGGCGTGTTTTTGCTGAGAAGGTTTACCTTGGCGAGACCAGGGAATATAGTTCGTCCGAACACTTTCCATGGAAGTAGCGTTAGAGACGGGAGAGGCTTGCTACATCCCGCCTGTGGTAAAAAGGTTGAAGAGTGGAGATTAATTCGTCACCCACAAAGACTCGGAGATGCTTTTGAGCTCTAACAAACCTATAAAGTGAGGTCTGGGCAACTCTTGCCCCAAAATAACAACAGTATTCCATTTTTGGTCTGATGTGGCTCTTGTAAAGTTAGAGGATACCAGGAGGTGTCAGGTACTTACTGAAGCGGTACAGAGGGCCGACAATTTTACCTGCATCCTTAGCAATGGATCATATGTACAAGTTCCACTTGAGGTCGGGTGTGACCTCGAGGCCCATCCATCTTTCAAGATACGGTGTTTCCCTGAGAGGACATCCGTTTATCCTGAATGGTGGTAGTTCAAGGTCAGATCGGCGATGTAACCAGCTTTGTCTTCGAGGCATTGAACAGAACCTGCCAGTTTTTACCCGATTACTATTTTGTTTTTACTCCCTTAGAAGACGAATATTTTTCTATATATGCCCCACTAAAAAATGTATGCCTGTGTACCTTATCTGACATAAAATAAAATACCTTAATTCTTTCCGATTTCAAATACAGATTCAAGCGTCTGGGAATTTCAGGCAAGACATTTTTAATTATTTGGATTTTTTTTCTTTTCAATACAACGTAAGAAGATTGTTTTGATCGAATCTTTCAAGAAGAACAATTCCACTGTCCATAAAAATGAAAAGATCAGACAAACCAGAAGGCTGAAGAATGAAACAGCCGGAACTTTGTAAAAAATAAAATAAAATAGTAAAAAAGCTAAAGTGATCTTTCAAAGATGAAAGAAAGACTTGAGGTAACAGAAGGATGCTGAGGATGTCATGGACGGAACATGTGAGCAACGATGATGTTTTAGAGAAAATGGAAACAAAAAAAAGCCACTTATATTTAACATAATAAAAAACAGTTGAAATTTCTAGGAAGTATAAAGAGGAAAGAGGGCTAGGAGAATCTGATACTCACAGGATATATTAAAAGCAAGAGGGACAGAGGTAAGCAGCGAATAGCCTAGCTAATGAAGTTATGTAAATGATTCGAAGAGAGATTAGAAGAGATAGTGAAAAGACAAAATTTACTAAGAGCTACAAAGAACAATAAATTGTGGAGAGCCATGATGGCTGACGTCCTAAAGAGACACATTACAAAGAATAATAATAATAATAATAATAATAAGAGACTGCTTACAATTTCTGCCATTATTCAGATAAAATTCTATTTTTGGCCTGTCTAGTAATGGTTGTTCAAAGAGTTTTGTAGGTTCTTCACTCACATAATTCTGACATTATATTTTAATAATAAATGCATGAAGAACGGTTGTCTCATTCTATCGTTCCAGGAAGTACCTCCCTCGTTTGGCGTACTTTACATTGATTGATTGATTAGTTTTTTACGGTTTATCTACCCTTTGCAGACTATTTAAAGCCAGAAAATATTTTGGGATTGTAAGATTTTTTTTAAAATAATGATCATTTTGTGATACACGTCTTAATATTTAACCCATAACTTGGGGAAGAAAAGGTGGATGCATACTTAATCAGAATTTGATGAATAAACAAAAAAAGTATAATGAAGATATAAAGTGGGGGTCAATTACCGTAATTCCTCAAGTAAAATACGCATACATCCAAAATACGCACACCTAAACTTATGCTGAATGTATGGGAAAATGCTTCTACTCGCGCATAATACGCACCCCTTGTTTGGTAATCAAAGCCTATAAATTGTACCTCTCTAATTTCATTACAGCCACCATTTCCTACTCTTATTTTAAAAAATGGTTTTAAATATAGAATAATATTATTCTAATTTAGTTTTATGATAATTCTTATTTTATTTTACTGCAATTTTTAAAATATTTTTGGAGCTGTGCATAATATGGACCCCTGATTTTGCTTATTAATTTTTTTTAGAAAAATGCGTATTATACATGGTGAATTACGGTATAACTTACAATCGATATATAAATCAAGATCCGTCACGTTGTGGCCACAGTATCTTTGTACCGAGATGGGCACGTGGCCGAGTGGTTAGAAAGTTCGCATTCTGAACATGAGACTCGGGTTCGAATCTCACCATGGTCGATTTGTCAAGACGGAGGATTCCTGATGTTATCGATCCTATCGTTCAGAAAATTTGGAAAGTGCTTGAAAAGTGCGAGTGAAATTGGGTAGACGGAACACTTGGGGGCCATCGATAGCTGTGTTAGCACGAAGTCACAAGTCATCGTGGCCGAGGGTTTGAGTGGGCTGGCCTTGTTCAAATTGTAGATCACTCTAGATAAAATGCTCTTTCCCAGAAACTGTAACTAAGGTCTGCTCAGCATAGATGCAGTATAAACCACGGGTGGGCTCTGTGGGTGTTGAATAAACACAAATACGTCTGAGCAAGCGTCTGCAATAGGGATTTGCTAACTGCCCTAGTAGACGGGTATCCTCGAATACAAGTGGCCAGCTTATATAATGAATAATATCTCTGTACATTTATATTCCGGAGAATGTAAATAAATCTAAACGACATGTCTATGTAGCTAACCATTCTTTCATTGATTGATTGATTCATTTTCTACGGCATATCAGCCTTTAGGAGGTTATTTCAAGCCAGAACATATGTTTAGATTCTAAGAATATTTTTTTTTAGATAATAATGGTTTAGCGATACAAGTTTTACTAATTAACTCATTGCTGGAGGAGACGCGGTAGATTCATACCTTTTTCAAGGATATTTTCCTGTAAGGTAATATAAATAAGCCTAACGGGAACTGGAACACGGTTCTCCGATTAACAATTCCAAACCATTCTCCATTACAACACCCGCACATTCAAGTTTACAGCACCCATCTAGGTACTGACTAAGCTAGATGTTGCTTAACTTCGATGATCATATGGGAGCCGGTGTTTCAACATTTATTTTTACAAGAGTCAGATTAAACTGTTTATATTTCTGAGATGGAGTATTATGTACACTATTTACATTATTAGGACTATTGTCCTCATATTTGTCACCATATTTATTACAACTTTTCGGCCGTTGTACGCTCCAGCCCTCTTCAGGTGGTAGGGATGTCGAACTGAACCCTTTATTTAGCTCGCTGGGGTAGACTGTTCTAGTTCCACGTGCCATGTCTAAGGGATGTCAGTTATCTAACTAATGCCTTTATCCACTGTGTTATGTGTCCTTGAAGACACATGGCACCGTGGATAAAGGCGTTAGTTAGATCCAATGATAAGACCCAAAGAGTGTGAGTTCAATACCTGGTTAAGGCGACGTAGAACTTTGAGAGGGGAATTAACAGGAGATTACTGATAACTGACATCCATTAGACAAACTGGAACAGTCTACCCCAGTGAGCGAAATAAAGGGTTCAGTTCGACATTCCCGCCACTTGAAGAAGGCCGGAGCGTACAACGGCTGAAACGTTGTGATAAATATGTCGACAAAGATGAGGACAATAGTCCGAATAATGTAAATAGTTTCAGATTAGACGATAAATGGACTATTTTTCCGTTAACTGGGATGTATCTGGTCAGTCATCATTTTTCCAGCTGTGATAGAGTTCAAATTCATTTAGGCGGTCGCCTAAGTGAAGGCTTACTCTCCACTCCGCAATTTCTTTCTTTCTTGCTACTCTATCACTATTTCCATGGCAAATGTTCAGATGAGTTCCACCAATTTTTATAGCTGGGACACACCGTATCAGGGAGTTACCCCCGTTATTTCTGTGTCCCAAATTTAAGGAAAATGTTCCATCCTCCACCCCCGCAAAAAAAAGCTACTTTGCAGAAGAGATGGGTGCTTCCATGATTAATATAATCCTGACCTCTTCAAGTCAAGGCTCAATAGCTGTCTATCCTCCTTATCCACATAATATTCACTTCCTATTACCACCATTTTATTAATTTCACACATCACTGTCATCATCACTATTTTAACAGTAACTTTTTATCGTGAAAGTTTTTCGAGACTTGTATTAGGTGAATTTTATTATTAAAAAGTCCAAGCGGGCGCAATAGGTAATTTTATTCTAAA